TACAAGTTTTTTGATTATTCTATTATTTCCACCCTCCTGTGGAATAACAGCCATCCAACCATGAAAGCAGCCAATATTTAAGTCAAATTGCAAACATGGTGCTATCACTGGAATATTATCACATACACAAAGAATGTGTGTAGTAGCTCAAGAGATATGGCCTCTGCTCTTCACTTGTTTCTGAATAATCTGCCGCATTCTCAAGTTAATTTGATTCTCTTCCCTTCCTTCAGCAAAGTTGCCCATTTATTTATAGTTACTGATGCACCTCTAAAACAAAGCAATTATCTCTTGCCCTGGGGCACTTCTGGACAAATCTTACGCACACAACTGTAGAAGAGGCCCTTCTTGTAACTCCCACCACTTTGCAGCAAGTGAGCAGCACTCCTGGACTAACAATAGGCAACATGTGAGCTTAAAACACACTTAGGACCTTTAAGAACTTCTCCATTTCCTCACGGCAGGAAAACAATCCAAGTGACACGGCTCCCAGGTCGGTAGTTTTAGTGGCTGTTATGAACTGATGAGGCTTAGGAAGGGTGCAAAGTCCAGAGCTGAGGGACATTCTTGTTCTTTTAGTCCTGGAACTGCAGCTTGAGCACCTGTGCTGTTTGTAGCTGTGCCGATATGGCCAGACAGTACCTTTTGTGTGAGGAGCAGTAGCTACAGCTCCCACCATCAGTCACAAAAGTCTGCAGTTTAGTAGAACGAGCATTTCGTACAGAAGCTAGCTCTTAAAAGACAGCTGGATTGGTTAGCATGTTTTTGTGTAGTATTTGATGACTCTGAACGTGTACCACAAAGACGATTCTCAGAAGCAAAACTGTAGCAAAACCTGCAATTTAAATGACCAGAAACAACTAATTCACTTCAGCTGTTTTAGAACGGGTAACATGGTGTTACACACATTATTGTGCAGCTAAGGAAATGCAGTGCTTAACCCATAGAGTTTATTCTTTCCTGTCAAAATTAGATTCTCCGGAGGAGTAACATGATGGGGAAAGGCAGGCCATCAGTGACAGCGTTACAAGGCTTCCTCATTTCAGGGATGCGCATGCTTCCTCTGCAAACTAGTCTTTATTCTGCAGTTTGGAATCTGGCTTCATGTCCATCTTCTCTCAGTGCACAGCTACCCTATTGAGAGGCGTTTAACACATCCATAGGTAAACACTTCGCCAAGGTTAAGGCTGAGCTCCATGGCAGTCCTGCTCCTGGCAATATTAAAATATTTTTTCAACGATTATACTACAAGTGGAGGCTTGTGGCCAATCCTAATGCAAAGCCAGCAACTGTCACATTATTTCCGAGAAGAGACTGCCCTGCTGAATCTGAGACTGACAGTATTACTGCTTCAATTATCCATTTCAATTAATGCAAATATAGGCGATGGTCTTAGAACAGCAGAGTAAGAACTGCCTGCTGAATACACAGTCACAAAATATAAGGCTTGACAAAAGAAGTAAAAAAGAGATTAGTCTAATTCACATTCTTAAATCAGAGATAGGAAAAAAAGTGGGGTATTGTCTTCACAATAATTCTTATAGTCTAAAAATTATTAGACAAATCATTTAATTAGAATTTTTATTCTTTGATATTCTTCTGCAAGAAGTAAAGAAGCACCATCTTACTGATACCTCTATCGTCTCTCAGTAAAAAACAATGGAGATAGAGTGCTAGGCTTGAAGAGAATATGCAGTCCACTGTAATTGTATTGAGGGTAACAGAGGCAAATAAAAAATAAATGACTTGGCCAAGGTCACACAGGAGGTCATGGCAGATTTTTTGAGCCATGGGAACCTTCTGTGCTTTATCTGTGAGAGCCTGTCACTGATAACAAACTTGTCAGCTTTTGACTTGAGCCTTTCAATGTAGAGCAGGGAGATTCCTTTGGCCTAGTCAATGCCTCAGTGGCCAGATACTAGAGATGGGTGTGGGAGGAGATGGGCATTCACCTTCCAGGAGGTTACATACTGCTTGCTATTTCCTATATTTCTGCAGCAAGAGGGAAAGACTTCTGTATTTCATCCTGGGTGTATAGATACTATAGACACTAAATTTACATTGCTGTAATGAACTCCATCTATAACTAACAAATGCTAACTATATGAAAACTGTAACAGAATATACTTCTCCCATTTTGTATGTTAACAGTTACATTCCTCTACTGAGTCAGCACCATGACTCCTTAAATTCTGTAAAATGCTTATGACATCTATCTTTCATCAAGAGTATCAATGAAGAGAATTCTAACATAAAACTAAAACTTCTAAGATATCTCAGGAAAATAAATTTAGGAGTGGTTGCATACTTTTTTTTTTTAATTAGAAGAGAGTGGAATCTTACCTGAAATCCATCAGCTACATTTATCTCTCTGAAGATATTAACTGTCTGATCATTAACACTATTCAGCCTAAAGCCACTAGAAATGAGAAAGGCCCAGATGTTGGAGGAATGGGAGGGAGGACATAACAGGTGGGATGTAAAAGGAACCATGGGAGAGAAGGCTGATTCAGGTGAAAGAGCACAGAAGAGTGGGTAAGTTTAATAGCCTGTGATGGAAAAAGGCTTGCTTACATATCACTGCTACTGATGGCAAATCTGCTCTGCAGGGGACCTGGGATGGAGGCCTGCTGTACATACCATGATGCAACCACTTGTAAAAGCTCTTAGAAAGATCTTGCTTTCTTGTAACAGAAAAGCAGTGCTTATACCGAAAGTCCATCATTCACAAGCCCGCCAGCAAAAATAACAGTTTATGCGCAGGTCACAATTTTAAGGTTAGCTCTACAACCTTAACAGCTAAAGTACTTTGTAAGTAAATAAACAGAAGTTCAACATAACTCAAAAACCAATTCCCATCTCACTGCTGAATTTTATGTTTGGTGGTGCATGAGCGAGTGTTCACACACAGAGAACATCACCTACCAAATATGTTTTATCAATGGGTCCTTCCATGGTTCAGTTCCTTTTCTCACAACTAACATCTTTTTTTCCACCTCTGTTGACCCAGAGTTCATCAGCAGGTCAGTGCTAAGGAAAAAGGTAACAACCAGTATTGAAAGTGTAACCCTGTCTACTGCTTAGATTCTGGGAACTTTAACCTCCGTTTGGAAAGCGTGACTAATAAGATGGAACAAATATTCTCCCAAGAGATGTAAACCATGCACCAGCTTCAAAATACAAAAATGCTTGCATAGTTTTTTTTTTTCTTTTTTAAAGAGGAAATCCTTTTTTTTCTTTTTTTCCCCCAAGATGGTTATATATGTAACATTATGTAGTAGTCAACAGAAGGCCACAGTGCCAAGGCACAATATGGAATGGTATCCTGAACTCCAGTTTAAAGGAACTGTTTCTTCTGTAACAGCGTTAAAAATACACTTCTTAGCAAACCATGATGAATATTGAGCAAAATAATTACTGAAAGGAATCTTTAATTTACATCTTTTTCCAAATATGTAACTACCTCCCCAAACGCTAATTCCACAAATGTTTAAATGAACCTTAAATAGGTGATTTCTTTGAAACAAAGGTGAATTTTCTAACCAGAGCAAGTGATGTTGTTCTCTGTTAATAACCAAGTATTATGAATAGTAGCTGTTTATACACTGAAGATTTCAGCACCATGATTTTATTGATTTGAAATACTTACAGTAGATTTGCACTCAAGCACTGCTAGTTGCCAAGTTTAAGACTGTGCAGCAATAATATCTGTGGTCTTACTTGCTTCTTACTTTCCTTAAATATAGCTTTGTTTTGTTTGATATTAGTATTACAAGCTTGCCATTTTTGCTAGTGGAAGGTTGAGACTCACCCAAATCACTAAACACTGAACTGCCTGTGGTATTTTGTCTGTTTAGGGCACTGATTAACAATTTCTCTTAGAGTGGTTTTACAAACTGGTAGGCTTGACACGATGTTTACAGTTACCACATTGCAAACAGGCTTCAAACAAGATCAAAGCCTCATTCTGACAGTTGACGTGTAGACCACTGAGGATGCTAATATCTGAGCAAACAAGAACTGTAGGCAGAAAGAATTACTGTCCCTATTTTACACATATTGAACCGAGGAAGATAAAAATAATAGTTTGTGGAAGGTCACCTGATCTTCAAGAACCTGTGAGTGAGTCCTTGTCCTGTTCTGCTAACAGAATATTATTCCTTTCTGATGGAATCACAGGTGTGGCTGTTCTCTGCATCAGCTAGAGCTCATCCTTCCTGCCGTAACTGTAACTGTAACTGTACCTGTACCTGTAACTGTAATTGTAACTGCTTTTCATATATGGCAGCACTCTATTCCAAGCTCCAACTGCTGCTCAGAAATTCTTTTGAGGCATGCAGCTGTGCATGTGATCGCTTGTTACCAGTACTCTCCATGGTCAGTTTAGTTTCTGTGGGCTGTGACTGCAGTACAACTGTAAAAGTCACAAGCCTCCAGACCAAGTTTAAAATCTGGATTTAAAAGCATGCTTTTTTGACTCTGTGGTAATTGGGGAATGGAAGACGTATCATTTCACAAGCTAGAGAAAAATCCTGTGTCTTATCCCAAATCACATTTCAGAACACTTTATTCATGCTTGGTTGTGACTACAGTACTTTCGGGTGCTATAAAAATAAAAGTTCTTGTAGGAGACAGGTTCTTGGTGGTCAGCATAACAATCTGCAGGGAGGGCACCCATACAGGAATGACTAACATACAGTGTTCCATGATAAAGAGAGAAAAAGCTTTGGCATATGAAAGAGGCAAACCCTATGGCAACAGGTGCCTCCAACCAGAGTACCACAGTCTTTTACCGTAACTTCATTTACCTGCAGTTCTGTAAAGCGGGCATCTTTATAGGCATCTAGTTCCTCACTAAACAAAGAGGTATCATACTGTGTGGTACCAGTTCTTGACAAGACTGCAAGAAATCTTCAGATCTGCTATATTCAAAATATTACGACACACTAACAATAAATAGTAAACCAGCAAGAGTTAAATATTGAAATGCATTACTATACCTGACATATTCTAATTGCTTGGTCCAGCACCGTCTTTGTATCAGTTGCATAATCTGGGCAAGGCAGCATGGCATGACTGAAGTGGGCTTGCAGCAGGAGGTGTGTTTTTGTGTGTGAACTGTCAAATGAATGGGGGTTGACTTCAATTGGAAGATGTTTTGCCAGTTCACTGTTCATCTGATCTTCATTGTGTCTCACTGGCAAATCTGTGTACTCCTCAGCATTCTTAAAAAAAATTAAAAAAATTAGCCATTGTAATCAACTTCAGAATAATTATTCCTTACTGACACATTAAAAGTATATGCATTTAATTAAATACGATTTGATTTTAATGTTAAAATAGCAGCATTTTAGTGGTTATAAAGTGTACTTATTTGTTAAAATCACGTGTGTGGGAAAACAATAGGTAGTAAAATATTCACAAATATTCACACAATTATAGGCCTTAATTTTTTTTCACATAGCTGATGAGAGGAGAATAAAAGCAATTAAATACATTCAGTGGATGGACTCAATATTTGAGATGACCGTCTGCCTGATTGGCTCACAAAAATATTGTAAAGTTAGCTATAAAAAAGTCAATAATTCACATTTTCAGTTTTCAGGGTTTCTACTTTTCTGTCTGTACTCAAAACACAGTGGGTTTGAAATTGCTCTGGTAAGGTTCTTTTAAAATGTACTTTCAATATTATGAACAGCCATTGTCTAAGCAACAGATGATCAGTGATCAGAGCAAAGAACAAAATTGTAAGTAGGTGCTGAAAACTATTCTCTGTGCTCCACAGTGGGACTAATACCATTCATGTCAAAATGAAAACTGTCTAAGAGCTTTCTCACTATTGCCAAAAAGAGCTGTAGGCCAACAGCTATTTAAATAATTTATCATTATTTAAATCAAGTAATAAATTATTAATTTATTATTAATTTAAATGTAGTTATGAGTAGCAACATCCATGGGGCTGTGAGGAACAGTCCTAGTAGTCAGAGCAGAGGTGTTCATTCTCGTGCTAGGCAAATCCACTGTCTCTGAAAGACAGAAAATTCAGCAGTAGCACCCTAAGAACTATAATTTAGGCTGAAGAATTAGTTCTGTGACTTAATTGGTAATTTTTTCCTGCACAAAACTCTCTTGTGCATGTATGCCTACATGTTGTTTGGAATGAGAATGATCTTTCTAAAGCATAAAACTTGCAAGTAAAGTAAGAGTTTTACAGTATGTTATATCTTTTCCATCTGTAATTTAAGAGAGTGTATTTCTTTTGTCATAAAGTAAAAAGTAATTTGGGTAGCCCAAAGGGCAATGTCTTTCAAACTATGGGCTTAGCAGAGACCATTAAATTAAAGTGGTCAGGGTTTTACATTCCTCCTAAAGTATAAATTCGTATTATGCATTTTAGTCTTCAATCGCCAGTCAGACTTCCTGCAAATCCATATTAATGAAATATTCACAAAAGGAATCAATGTAGAGTGTGGTAATGAAAATGGCAATTTTAGAACACCTAACAGAGCTACCTAATTGACTTACAAAGTACCGTATCCACTCATTAATAGCCTAACGCATAGAACCTTTTTTGACAATTCCTAAAACCCAGTTACATAGCTGGTTTTCACCCCTTTGAAAACTGACAGTACAAAATTTTCTATTTTCTTTAATGGCACAATGAAACTACACCTAAACTGTGATATACATGTAAAAGTAAGTATTAGACAACTTAAGATTTGGAAAGAAAATCAGAATGTAATTAATTTATTTTATATCTCGACTGCAGATTAGAAGTGAAGATTGACTAAAGACAACTGCTGCTTAATCCTGGATGTCTCTGCTAGATCTCTTGTGAAAACTGTGGTCATTTATTCTCTGAACCTAAGGTCACAATCTTTTTAAGCCCTATAGAAGGCTGCATGTTTGCTTCACTCTTTTTATTTAACTGGCTTCTTCTTCAAAGATATTTTAAAGAATATTTACCAAGGAGATTTTTTACTTAGTTTTGCTTTGCAGTTTAAAGTAGCAGAAAGAAGAAGGATCAGCCAAGTCACTCCAGACCAATTGGTACTCCTGAAAATGCATTTTCCCTAATTCTTCCCCAACACGTTTTATTTACCTCCAAAACACTCCTCTTATTTTAAACAACTTGCCTACTTAATTTCCTGTTTGTGATCATTGACTGTAAGTAAGTGAGGTTCATTTTCTTATCTGCATCGTGTAGGTAATTAAAGGAAATTGAGAATGGGTAGTGAAGCTTTTATACAACTGAGAATGAAGCTGAATGGAGGGCACTGAGGTCAGCAGAGTCCATTATATTTTTATGTGAGAGGCCAGTATGTCTGCCCTGTCCTTGTTTGCTTAGTGTAGGCTGGACAGACTACTAACTGCAAATCTGTTTCTCTGATTTGCCCAGCTGTCCTTGAATAAAGACATCTTCCACTGCAAAACGTTAAATGACAGTGATTGACAACTCTGTGATGAACTGTGCTTGTAACCCCCTGCTACTGTTTTCAGGTTGCACAAGAAAAGACAGAATAAAGAAACATCCTTTGTAATAACCTCAAATGGGCCCTGCTGTTCACTCAATATTTTTTCATTTTAGTATTCCTTTTCATTGTGAATCTCAATCTGTTCTGCAAAGCCTATAGCTTCAACTATTCCACAGAACATGTAATATATTTTAGTTTAGTACACTATGTCTGAATACCATTTTTACTTCCATGGGTGAGGAAACAGATCAAATTACATATCAATCATTAATCTTCATTCTGAAGTCAAGAAACTTAATATAAACTTTAGAGTTAAACCACAAAGCAAGGCTGTTCATTTTTCACTTTCCCTTTTTCTTCTGTTAAATCAGGACTATTGCAGACAATGATAATATGTTTACAAGCAAATAATATGTTTACAAGCGCCTATACCATGAAGCATAACTTGGAGTATACCAGGAGATAACTAGGAATTTTAGTTATGGGTTCTGAATCATGCATTTGGTGGACATATCACATCTCTCTGTTATATAGGTCTGTGATGGACTTTCCCAATAATGTCTATCATTAGAGATTGCTGCATCATTTTGAGAGTGTAAGAAACCTGCAATTCAACCTGTATGTGGTGCAGGGTCATATAGCAAACAGCAACTTGCTTTGCCAGTGAGAAATGTCACACCTAGACCTGCATCAACTTGATAGCTGCGTTTTACAAGGCCAAAGGGCTATTCTGGTAATTCTGTTTCCTGCATAACACTAGCCACAGAATCATCTTAGAATCCTGTCTGCAACATTCCGGATATGCAGTTTGTCATCACCCTTTATCTGAATTGTCAGAAGTGTTCTAAAATTAAACAACTTACTCCATTTTAAAATATACCTTCTGCAGTTTTCTGGTACTATGAGGCATTTGAGGAGTCAGACTGAACTAAAGTTTAAACAAGGTATCCAACATGGTGAGTATTATGATCCACAGTGTCCACAGGGTTAAAAAAAAAATAAAAATCAGATTTTCTTTCTACTCACAAAATGTGTAAATTTGTCTGAAATTACTGATTCATAGTAAGAGCTGAACTATAAACCTATACCACATGCAAACCTTCTAAAATGTTTTAAATCTCTAACTAAATCTTGCCATCTGCCTACAAGAGAGAAGAGGATACGTGTGGAACACAGACGGACACAGATCAAGGTGAGCAACTAAAGTAAACTTGAATATTTTAAGTTCAGTTCAGTCATGGGAACAGTAAAACTTGCAAAGTTAATGAGTTCTAGACTTTAAAGAGCAGTTGATTAATTTGTAACAATGAGGGTCTAAACCAAACCAAAAATAGTTTCTCACATTCCAGAGCTGAGGCAGTAGTCTTTTCTTTAGCAATGCTGTTATTGAAACTTAGAATTGACTGACTACTTGTACGTTCATTTCCTTTCTATAGGTACAGTGAATCCAAACACATGTATTTTCAACTTCAATAAACCTGCAAGGTGTTTTGCTCTCTTTCAAGTTTCCGATGTATTTATATTCAGAAAACAAATAAATGTGGGAAAACATGCTGCTCAGAAAATTGTTATCTGTGTTAAGTGATTCCATTATAAACTCCTATTTTAAGGAATTTATTGGTAGGCTATAAATATATATGCTTTGGTCTCAGTTTTATGGGACATAATTCAAACTTCCAAAGTTTAAAATGTTGAGGGTTTGGTTTTCTTTTTTTTTTTTTTTTACTCTTAGATGTAAAAGCTCTAGGACAACATCCTAGTTAAAGACAGTTATAAACATATTTTACTAGTTACAAGGTTTAAGAACAAACGATGCATGCTTTCAAGATTCATATTATGGACAAAAAGGAATAATATCCCATGTAATTTCTACCAGCTTATGGAAGCCACTATATGACATAGATTGTTAGACCGGAAATTTAGATTGTCTCTTTTAGACAGCAGACACTTGCATGAAGAGTTTCCTCAGCCTGTTTTACACATATAAAAATATACGTTTAATACTTTGCAGAAGTGACATTCCAGACTTTTAGGGCCACCTGGCAGGCTCCACTAAGCAACAGAGCAGGCTGAAGGTTTGTAGAGATCTTGAAGAGTGGCTAGCATGATGCAAAAAAAGAAAAAAATTGACAGGCAAGATTAGAACATATTTACTACACAATACTGTAATTCCTCATGGAGACCATTCTAAATATGCTCATTGACTTCATACAGCATGTAACATCTTTTCCTCTCATAGAATCATAGAATGGTTTGGGTCAGAAGGGACATTCAAAGGTCATCTAGTCCAACTCCCCTGCAATGAGCAAGGACATCTTCAATTGGATCAAACCTCCCAGAACCACATCTGGCCTGGGCTTGAGTGTCTTCAGGGATGGTGCATCCACCACCTCTCTGCGCAACCTGTGCCAGTGTTTTACCACCCTCACTGTAAAGAATTTCTTCCTCACATCCAGCCTGAATCTCCCTTCTTTTAGTTTAAAAGCATTACCCCTCATCCTATGGCCCTGCTAAAAAGTCTATCCCCATCTTTCTCACAGGCCCCTTTTAAGAACTGAAAGGCCACAATAAAGTCTCCCTGAAGCCTTCTCTTCTCCAGGCTGAACAACCTCAACTCTCTCAGCCCTTCCTCTTCAGGGAGGTGCTCTGATCATTTCTGTGGCCCTCCTCCAGAGCAATAGGTCTGTATCTTTCCTACTGAGGACTCCAGAGCTGGACATCCTACTCTAGGTGGGGAGCCATCAGAGCAG